TACTATAAATTCTTCTATTCAAAGGTTGATGACATGTTCGACAGAATATTTAAGGAACTCGAAGACACGCCATACGAACGTCACGTAGATCGTGAGAGGTATGCCGTAGACAACACCACAGCACTGGATGAAGGGATTCAAAGATTGAAAATAAACGTAGGCGGTTTCATGAAGGGAATGGAAAGAACTGTTCCAATAAATTGGATGGACTTCCAAATTGAGGTACAAGAAGCCGGGAAAACAACTTTGCGCATGTCCTTAGATAAGGTATTGTACGCAATAGTATTACAATATAAGAAACTCTTAATAAATTAATTTCTTCCAAGGCCGTAGGAAGCGGTTCGGCTGCTTCGGAAGGCCGTATATGCTACCGGTACTCGAGTTTTCGGCCTAAAAATTGACAAATTAATATTGTTTGTGTGCCCAAATAGTAATTTTAACACAATGTAGTTTTTTTTTAAAAACAAATATTACAGTATGGCCTGACTCAGCATGCACACACACACACACACACCCACCCACACACACACACACACACACACACACACACACATACACCCACCCCCACACACATACACACACGCAACTACACACGTAAGTGATATTTTGAAAGTATTTTCTCGTTGGCCGGACCAATAATATTTGCTTCTAACTTGCCTGATTTCCGGTATGTTTTGCATTACCCTACTTTTACATTGATTGAAGCCACATATTTCTGTCAATACATTTGTAATTTTAATAAACGAATCTTTACACTATGACTATAGAGCTATTTGGTGTTATTGCGCAACCGATTTACATGTTTCTTATATTTCTTTAGATCACTAAGATTGCTGTGAAACGCGGTATTAATAAAGAAAACGTCATCCACGTCCTCAATTACCTTAATGATCTTGGAGTCATTCTGTATTCGCCCACTAACCAGGAGTTGAAGAACACAGTGATTACTAACATCCATATGCTAATTGGTATCTTCATGAAAATCATCACAGTTGTGAAACCTGATGATGTTGACAAGGTAGTTTTAATTATTAAGTAAAT